TCGCGTCGCGGCGTCTCCGCGGCCTCGACGACGACGCCGCCGTCGCCGCCGTCGCGCGCGCGTCCGAAGCCGACGCGACGAGCGCCCTGCGGGAGATGACGAACAAGGGCGCGCGGAACGTTTCGCGCGCGGAACGCGACGCGCTCGAGGCGTCCAAGGCGGCCGCGGCCGCCGCCGCGGCCGCGGCGGCGTCCGCCACCGCGCTCGAGGACGCCATCGCGAACGAGGACGCCGCCGCGACGTCGACGTCGAAGAAATCGGCGTTCACGATCATGCCGGCGACGCGCGCCAGGACGCTGCGCGACGCGCTCCGAGCGCGCCTCCCTCCGTACATGATCCCCGCGGCGGTGGTCCAGATCGCGTCCGCCGCCGACGTCCCGACCACCGCGAACGGTAAGGTCGACCGCGCGGCGTTGCCGTCGCCCGCGTCGTTGCGAGGAGCGAACGGTCGACAACAAACGGACGACGCTTACGTCGCGCCCGACGGCCGTACCGAAGAGATCGTCGCGTCGCTGTTCGAGACGACGTTACCCGGGGACGTCGTCGTCGGCGCGGCGGATGACTTCTTCGAGCTCGGCGGGCACTCGCTCCTCGCGATGCAGTTCATCGGGCGCCTGCAGGCTGCGCTCGGCGTGCGAGTGACGGTGCAGACGTTGCACGAGCACTCCACGCCGAGGGACATCGCGCGGTTCGTCGACGGCGGCGGCGGCGGCGACGCGTCGGGGAATAAGGCTAAGGTGCGTTCTCCTTACACTGGTCCCCATACGACCCCGTCCGCGTGGTGAACGCCGTTCCTTAAGGAGTTTGCCCGGCGTCTCTCTCCGCCCAGGGTCCCTCGCTTTCAATCCCGACACACCTCGACGCCTTTCAACTCCGCTTTTGACGCCTTTCAACTCCACCCCGACGTCGCTTTGTACGGAACGACCCTCAGAAGCTGAAGAAGGGCGAGACCCCGCTGCCGATGGCGTCGAACGACGTCGTGACCGTCGTCGACCCGGAGTCGCTCCCGCGCGGCGAGATCACGCGCGTGGACGAGATCTTCTTCGAGACGCGCGACGGGTGCCGCCTCAGCGCGCGCCTGTGGCTCCCCGACGGCGTGTCTCCCGACGACGCGTCGTCGCGGAGAGCGCCGGCGGTGATTGAAATTTTACCCTACGGCGTCCACCACGGCACGATCGACACGGACGAGGCGACGTGGCCGTACCTCGCCGGGAACGGCATCGCGTGCGTGCGCGTCGACGCGCGCGGCAGCGGCAACTCGCGCGGCGTCCTCGACGACGAGTACTCGCCGACGCAGCAGCGAGACGCGTGCGACGCCGTCGAGTGGGTCGCGTCCAGGAGTTGGTGCACCGGCGCGGTGGGGCTCATGGGCTGCTCTTGGGGCGGATTCGTCGCGCTGCAAGTCGCGGCGCTGCGCGGGAAGACGAAGCGTCGCGAGGCGCCGAGCCTGCGGGCGGTGTGCGCGGTGTGCGCGACGGACGAGCGCGCGTCCGACGACATGCACTGGATGGGCGGGTCTTTGCTCGGGGAGAATTTGGCGTGGGGCGCGTGGTTGCTGGACGCGTGCGCGGCGCCGCCCGTGCCGGTGTCGGACGAGAGAGGCATCGCGTCGGACAAAAACACGTGTACACGCGTGTTGTCCGACAAAAATAACGACGATGACGCAACCGACCGCGAAGAAGAAGACCACCAGTCCGCGTGGGAGTCGCGCTGGGTCGACAGGCTCGACGCGCTCAAGCCCATGCACGGCGAGTGGGCGTCGATTCACCCGAGCACGGACGCGGGCGACGCGTACTGGAGCACCGGCTCCGTCGGCGGCGCCAACACGCGCGACATCGACGTCCCCGTGCTGTCCGTCGGGTGCCTCAACGGCGGCGGGTACGCGAACGCCACGCCGCGCGTCGCGAGAGCGCTCGGGCGCGAGAAGGTGACCGCGATCATGGGGTCGTGGACGCACAACTACCCGCACCTGTCGCGGTCGGGCCCCGCGTTTGGCTTCCTCGCCGAGACGCTCGCGTTTTGGCGCCGGAACCTCGGAGGCGCGCAACACGACGACGGCTGGCTCCCCGGTGACGACGGCGAGGGCGGCGGCGACGCGCTCGACGAGATGAACGACGCGATCCCGGGCGTGAGGATCCACGTCCAGCGCCCGCCGCTGGTCGGCGGGCCGGTCACCGCGCCGACGCGCGCGGAGGGGTACTGGATCGCGGAGGCGTCGCAGCGCGACCTCGACGCCGCCGCCGCCGACGGCGCGATCGAGGCGTCGTTCACCGCGGAGAAGACGCTCGCGCTCGTCGCGAAACCGGAAGACGGTCGGTTTAAAGCGAGGTTGACCGACTCCCCGAGCGACCCCGTCGGCGCCGCGTCCGGGCGCTGGTTCACGTTCGGCGACGGCGACGACCTCCCCGGCGACCAAACCCCGGACGACGAAAAGTCGCTCTGTTTCGACGGCGACCCGGTCGTCGCGGAGACCGCGCTCGTGGGCACCCCGCGCGTGCGCGTGACGTGCGTCCGCGTCGTCGAAGACGACGACGGAGGAGACGACGCCGACGCCGCCGCCGCGCCGCCGCCGCCGCCGCCCAGCGGCGTCGTCGTCGCGCGTCTCTGCGCGGTGTCCCCCGACGACGGCTCCTCGCATCGGATCTCCTACGGCGTCGTCAACGTCGCCGCGGCGCACGGTCGGTCGGTGGTCAAAACCGCCGCCGGCGGCGCGTTCACCGTCGACGTCGAGTGCGCGTACTGCGCGTTCTCGCTCCCCGTCGGGTGGAAGCTCAGGGTGGCCGTATCTCAGACGTACTGGCCCGTCGTCGCCGCGTCGCCGAACGGGTTTCATCCCGTCGCCGTCCTCGGCGGCGGCGTCGTCGTCCCGGCGCTGTCGCAAGCGCACGTCGAGGAAATGTACGGCGACGGCGCGAAGTACGAGGCGCTGCTTCGCGCGTCGATCCCCGAGCTCGAGGTTCTCGTCGCGCCGCGCGCGACGCGGCGTCTGAGCAGCGGGAACGTTCGGAACTCTTACGACGGCGAGCACGCGGTGGCGGTGCGCCGCGTCGACTCGGGCGCGATGATGATCAACCCCACAAACAGCGCGCCGTCGCGGACGTCCTCCCCGAAGCCGTTCGTGGTGCAGGAGACGTCCAGCGACGTCAGCGCGAAGAAGAGCGTCCTCGCCGACGGCGTCGGCACGCAGCGCGTCGAACGCCGCCGCGTCATTCGCGGGTTGGACGTCGGCGGCGGCGGCGGCGGATTCGATTCGTCGGCGCCGAATTCTCCCAAGGTGCGTTCTATACACTGGTTCCCATACGACCGCGTTCGCGTGGTGGACGCCGTTTCTTAAGGACTTTGCCCGGCGCATCTCTCCGCCTACCCCTCGCTTTCAATACCCGCCCTCGACGCCTTTCAACGCCAACTGACGCCTTTCAACTCCACCCCGACATTCGCTCGTATGGAACGGCCCCAAGCGCGTCCCGACGCCGTCGCTCGTCGACGCGGAGATCGCGGTCACCGCGGACATGACCGTCATGGACGGCGTGTACCGGTTCGACACGGAGCTCGAGGCGTTCGTCGTCGACGGCGGCGAGGGCGGCGAGAGCGACGGCGACGACCCGAGAGCGGCGTCGCGTCGGTCCGTGTTCAAGAAGCGTTGGATCGAGACGATGCCCGCGGTCGGGTTCGATCCGGCGACGGGGGGCGCCAACGGGATCAACAACTCCGCGGCGTGATGCGGACGCGATGCGATCGCGTCCGTCGCCGCGAGTGCTGTTTTTTTTTCTATCACCACGGGTACCGCTACCAGTGCTACCCCGGGGGGTGTTCGAGCGACACCCCCCTCACCGTCGAAGGGCGGCGGCAAAATCAGCCGCCGCGCGCGACTAGTTTTCTCTGTTTTTTTAATGTATTACCGCGGGGCGGAGCCAGCAAAAATGCGGGCACCCCGGCACATCGTAACAATCGCACGAGTTTAATATACACTTAAGCGTACATCACGAGGTTCGATCGTTCGTTCGTTCGATCGATCGATCGTTCGTTCGTTACAAGCGCGTCTCGTCGTAGCTAGGTCAGGCAGACTCTTCTTTCTCCTTCGCGACTTTTTCGCGGAGCTCCGCGAAAGATCCAGGAGGAAACATGTGCACGACGCGCGAGCACGTCTCTTTGTGCGGCGGATCCCCGCGGTTCCAGTCGCGCTGCTGGCACCGCTTGTCGCAGTCCCGCACGCCGCGGCACAGCTTGCATCCCCAACGAGCGTCGGTCTTGCCGCAGGTGACGCAAGAGCGAAGCTTGACGAGCTCCTTGGCGACGGCGGCGGTGACCCCGTCGCGAATTTCTGCGACTTTGAACACCTCCTTCGCCATCCGAAGATTCTTCTCGAGTCCACACCTCCCGTGGAGGAAGCAGAGTCCGATGTGCTGGTAGAGACCATAAGCTTCGTGATCGGCTGGAATTTCGGTAACGAAGAGCTCCACGGCGTCATCGCTCAGTTTTAACCCGCCAAGTTCTGAGATGGAAAGGAGACAATCTCTTTTTTCCTCTCGAATTTCATTGAGAGTGTTCATGGCTTCCGCGTCCGTCTCATCCCTTGCCACGGCATCCGCCCAATCCTTCTCCCAGTGCGTATACGACATCGGTATGTCCTCCAATGCCTCCTTCGCAACTTCGTGCCCGTGCGCCGCAGCTCTCTCCCACCACTCCCGCGCCTTCGCTTCGTCTCGCTCCACGCCTTGGCCAGCGAAGTACAACGTCCCGATGTGATGCTCTGCTTGCGCGTCTCCTTGAGCCGCGGCTTTTTCGTACCACTTCATGGCACCTTCATAATCGTTCCGCTCCCTGTCGAGAAGGTACCCGTAGTTGTGTTGAGCATGAACATCCCCCTTCAACGCGGCCCTGTGATAAAACTCCGCCGCCTTCGATAAGTCTCGCTCGACGCCGAGGCCTAGGTCGTAGAGCAGCCCGAGGTTGTACTCAGCGAGGGTGGCGCCCTGCGCCGCGGCTCTCTCGTACCATTCCCGCGCGCGTTCGTAATCACCTGCCTCCTCACACACGTAGCCGAAGACGCACTGCGCGCCAGCGCACCCCAGCTCCGCGCGCCTCTCGACCCAGTGACGTGCGAGCTCGTGGTTTTCCTCCACGCCGCCGGTCCCGTTGAGGTAGTGCACGTAAAGATCCCACGCCGCATCTCCAGACCCGGCGTTCGCCTTCTTCACGAGGTCGCGGATCTTCCGCGGGAGCTTGATCTTCGGCATCGCGTCGCGTCCGCGCGTCGTGCGGCGGCGGGGGCGGGAAAGTGCTGCGTCGTCGTGCGTCGTGGCTTTTTGGCAGCGAAACAAATCTTTTTCTCGTCCAGTCGTTGGAGAACCACGAAGCGACGCCTGTCGACTCGGCACGCCCAGACCGCACGCGCGCGCCGCGCGTGATGGCGTCGTCCGGGGAGTCGTCCTCGGACGCGCCCTCCTCCTCCTCCGACGATGACGACGACGACGACGCGCGAGTCAGCGCGCCGCCCGTCGCGTCGTCGTCGTCGTCGTCGTCGCGCGTCGTCGCGGCGTCGCGCGCGTCGTCGTCGTCGTCGACGAAACCTTCACGTCAACATCAGCCTCGCGCGTCGCGCCCGTCGTCGCGCGCGAAGCGCAAGAGCAAACCCGCCCCGATCGCGGTGTGCCTCACGAACTGCAAGTACGAGCTCCTGCGCTGCGTCCAGAAGAAGCTCGGGTGGATCGAAGTAGGGTCCGACGCGGAGGACTGGCAGCTCTACTGGACCGACACCTCGGTCTCCATCGAGCGCGTGATGCGATTAAAAGCGACGCAGAAGATCAACCACTTCACCGGGATGCTCGAGATCTGCCGCAAGAAACAGCTCGCGAAGAACCTCGCGCGGATGTCCGCGCTGTTCCCGTCCGAGTTCAAGTTCGCGCCGAAGACGTGGACGCTGCCGCTCGAGCTCGAGTCGTTCCTCGATCAGTTCCCTCGGAAGGCGTCCAAGCCGGGTAAGAGAACGTTCATCTTGAAGCCGGACGCGGGGTGCCAGGGCAAGGGCATCGCGCTCGCGCAGTCGCAAGACCACGTCCTCAAAGCCCTGGAGAACATCAACGTCGACGTCGAGGGCGAGAGCAAAGGGTCCAACGCCGTCGTCGCGCAGAGGTACCTGTCGAAGCCGTTTCTCATCGACGGGTACAAGTTCGACCTGCGCGTCTACGCGCTGGTGATCTGCGCGGATCCGCTCAGGGTGTTCGTTTTCAACGACGGCCTCGCGCGGTTCTGCACGGAGAAGTACGAGCCCCCGGGGAAGGGGAACTTGAAGGACACGTGCATGCACCTGACGAACTACGCGGTGAACAAACACAACGAGAACTTCGTGTTCAACGACGACGCGGGCGCGAACGGAGCGGGGAGCAAATGGAGCGTGCAGGGGTTGAAAGACTGGATGGAGGACAACGGGCACGACTTCGTCGGCGCGTGGGAGGGGATCGTGGACTTGATCGTGAAGACGATCGTCAGCGTGCAGCCGGTGCTCGCGCACAACTACCACAGCGTCTTGCCCCCGGAGACGAACGACGGGTACTCGTGCTTTGAAATTCTCGGCGTGGACGTCATGCTCGACGAAAACTTGAGGTAAGTTCTATACACTGGTTCCCATACGGCCGCGATCGCGTGGTGAACGCCGTTTCTTAAGGACTTTGCCCGGCGCATCTCTCCGCCCATACCTCGGTTTCAATCCCCGCCCTCGACGCATTTCAACTCCAACTGACGCCTTTCAACTCCACCCCGACGTTCGCTCGTATGGAACGACCCTGAGACCGTGGCTGATCGAGGTGAACCACTCGCCGTCGTTCGGGGTGGACACGCCGCTGGACCTCGCGATCAAGGGCGACCTCATCTCCGACGCGATCGAGCTCGTGCGCATCGACCCGAAGCTCGTGCGGAGGGTCGAGGCGGAGCGAAAGCTCGCGTCGCAGTCGCGGTTGATGGCGCATAAAAAACGCGGCGCTGAATCCGTGACGCGCGGCGACCGCGACCGCGTGCGTTCTGTCTCACACTGGTCCCCATACGACCGCGTTCGCGTGGTGAACGCCGTTCCTTAAGGACTTTTCCCGGCGTCTCTCTCCGCCCAGCCCTCGCGTTCAATACCCGCCCTCGACGCCTTTCAACTCCGCTTCTGACGCCTTTCAACTCCACCCCGACGTTCGCTCGTATAGAAGGGCGTCGGCGAGGGAGACGCGACGACAGTCGCTGCCAAACCGACCGCGCCGCGCAAGCTCGGCGAGGGCGTCGAGGAGCGCCGAGCCGCGGCGATCGAGGAGCGAATAAAGTGGGAGAAAAACCACAGCGGCTCGTTCGAGCTCGCGTACCCGTCGCCGTGCGAGCGGAAACAGGCGCTGTACGAGAAGCTCCTCGTCGGCGCCAAGGAGAGCTTCGAGAACCACGGGCAGGTGGCGCGCGTGCGAGACGTCATGGAGAAGGCCAAGTACACCGCGCTGCGACGCGCGACGGAGGAGGAGGTGCGACAGAACGCGATCAAGAACGGGATCAAGATTCCCGCGGGGATGGAGCTGAAGAAGGTGGTGGAGGCGGTGATGAAGGCGCGCGCGGACGGCGGCTCGGGTGCGTTCTATCTCACACTGGTCCCCGTACGACCGACCGCGTTGGCGCGGTGCACGCCGTTTCTCGAGGACTTTACTTTCTCTCCCGGCGTCTCTCTCCGCCCACCCCACGGTTTCGTCGATCCCCGACACACCTCGACGCCTTTCAACTCCGACTGACGCGCCTGTCTTTCAACTCCACCCCGACGTCGCTTATTCGTACGGAATCGCCGCTTCCCCCAGAGACGTTGCTCACCGCCCCGAAGACGTGGAGCCTGGGCGACTGCCCCGTGCCGATGCTGCAGATGTACGCGGGCGTGCCGGACGCGAAGAAGAGCGAGAAGGAGCGCGCGTCGCGGGCGAGGAAAGAAGCGCGGAAGAAGCACGCGGCGGCGGTGGTGAGACCGCTTCCCATACGACCCCGTTCGCGTGGTGCACGCCGTTCCTTAAGGACTTTTCCCGTCGTCACTCTTCACCCGCGCTTCCCTTTCAACGTTTGACCGGTAAGACGTTCGACTGACCGATCGCTTCACCCACGCAGGCGGCGAGCAAGAAGAAAGCCGCGGAGGAAGCCGCGGCGGCGGCGGCGGCGATGATGGGCGATGATGGGCGATGCAGCGGCAGCGGCGGGAGCTCGCCAAACTCCAGAGAGGGCGAGGTCACCGCGGCGTTGGAGTACGACTCGCCGTTCAAGCGCGCGACGATCCAGGCGATTCCGTTCTATACACTGGTTCCCATACGACCCCGTTCGCGTGGTGAACGCCATTCCTTAAGGACTTTCGCCGTCGTCTCTCTCCGCCCACCCCTCCCTTTCAATACCCGCCCTCGGCGCCTTTCAACGCCAACTGACGCCTTTCAACTCCACCCCGACGTTCGCTTCAGGCGATTCTCCGACGGCGGATGGAAGAAGCCGAGGCGGCGGCGGCGGCCGGCGGCGGCGCGGCGATGCGAAGCGTGCCGTTGCCCGAACGCTTCGACAGCACGAACGGCGGGTGGGGCCTCGGCGGGACGGGGATACGCCCCGCCGCGAAAGCGCCGAGCAAGAGCAGGCGCGCGATGTCGATGACGTCGTCGTCTCTGAACAACCCGTACGCGCCGAGCGACGGCGGCGCGGTGCGCGGCGGCGGCGAGTTTAGCAACCAGAGTAATTACTTCGCGGGCACGTTGCGCTCGGGAGACGTGCGGAGCAGCTCCGGCGCGATGATCCCGGGGCGGAGAGGGACGACGTCGAGCCAGAAGTCGCTCGCGTCGTCCACGGTCGGCGCGAAGGCGCCGGCGGCGGCTTCGAATTCGAATTCGAAGGGGATTTTCCGCGCGGTGGAAGAGGTCAAGGTGACGAAAGGCGTCGGGAGCGCGGACCCGGCGTTCTTGAAGCGCGTGAACTCGATGTCGCTGACGTCGTCGCCCAGGAGCGGCGCGTCCGTGCGGGCGATCAACCCGGCGACGCGCGAGCGGAAGTAGTCCATCAGATTATTTATAAACACACTTTACGTTCTCGTTCTTCTTCATCGTCGTGTCCTTCGGCGCTCTCGTCCCTAGGGTATCTGCGTCTTGCACGCGCGAACGCGCTCACGCGTCCCGCCCGATGTCTTTATACCTCCCCTCCACCGCGTTCAACGCGTCGAGCAGCACGTTCACGTCGTCGCTCGGTCGCTTCAGGTCGAAAAACCCGTACCCGCACTCTCGCTTATCGACCTCGTAGGATATGCGATCCGCGAGGCGTCTGAGCTCCGTCGCGAGCTTCGCCGCGATGGACTCTTTCGTCGTCGTCGTCGTCGTCGTCGTCTCGTCCGGTCGAATCGGAGGTTGCTGTTGCTGTTGTTCCGGGAGGAGCTTCGGGAGCTTCAGCGCGCCGTTCGGCGGCGTCGCGCCCGTGGACGCGGACCCCCCGCCGCCGCCGCCGCCGCCGCCGCCGCCGCCGCCCGCCGCCGCCGCCGCCGCCGCCGCCTTCCTCTTCCGGCTCTCCAGCTTCTTGAAATCCTTCTCCGCCTGCTTCGCGCCGTGCACCGCAGCCTTCAGCAGCAAATCCTCCCCGCCGTCCACGTCCACGTCGCACCCGCTCCCGCGTATCATGTGCCACGCGAGGCACCGCATCGCGTTCCCGTGCCCTTTCCTCGCGGCGGACGCGAACCCCGCCGTCGCCGCCGCCGCGTCGACGGCCACGCCGAGCCCGCGCGCGTTGGCGTCCGCCATCTCGTACTCCGCCTCGGGCAGCCCTTGCCGCGCGGCGAGGTCGATGAGCGCGTACCCGCGCGAATACTCGCCCTCGCGGCGGCGACGCGTCCCCAACGCGTACTGCGCCTTCGACAAGCCCGCGTCGGCGGCGGTCTCGAGCCATCGCGCCGCCTTCGCGTCGTCGGCGTCGCAGCCGAGCCCGCGCTCGTAGCACGTCGCCAAGTTGTACGCCGCGTCCGCCTCGCCCTCGATCGCCGCCTTCTCGAACCACGCGAACGCGTCGGCGTACTCCTCCGCGTTGAAGAGGTACGCGCCGAGGTGCGCGGCGGCGCCCGGGTGGCCCTTCGCGGCGGCTTTGCGGAACCAGCCTGGAGGTCGTTCCATACAAAGCGATGTCGGGGTGGAGTTCATAGGCGTCAGGTGGAGTTGAAAGGCGTCGAGGGCGGGGATCGAACGCAAGGGATGGGCGGAGAGATGCGCCGGGCAAAGTCCTTAAGGATCGGCGTTCACCACGCGAACGCGGTCGTATGGGGACCAGTGTATAGAACGCGCCGGCGGCGGCGGGGAGGTTCTTCGCGACGCCGCGCGCCTCCGCGTAGCAGTTCCCGAGGTTGTTCTCCGCGTTCCTCTCCCCCTGCGATGCGGCTCGGCGGTAGTGCTCGAACGCGCGC